GCATCCAGTGGAAGGCACATTATTGCAGTCACACCACCGCCTCAGAGAGGTCATGTACACGCACACATGGTGGTCACAAACATCACACACACAACCCCAGTCTCAATCTCTCACACACCCACGGCTCACTGTCCCTTCACAGAGGCTGCATTTGCAAACCTCGGGGTGGCGAACCATGGTTCAGTCTCTCTCCTACTCACTCTGGTCTCACACATTAGTTTTCCTCTCTCTCTCACACACAGTCTCAAAGGTCTCTGTTTCTGAGACACGTGGATTTCTCGCGCACATACACAAACACTGCAGTTGCTACCTCGAACACGCGCACACACAATACACACTGGTCTCCCTCACACGTGAACACACGGGAACTGTCACACAATCTCACGTACTGCAGTCTCGGACACACACACACACACCCCCCACCCCCCACGATCTCTCAGCCTCTCTCACACACACACCCCCCACCCCCCACGATCTCTCAGCCTCTCTCACACACACACACCCCCCACCCCCCACGATCTCTCAGCCTCTCTCACACACACACCCCACCCCCCACGATCTCTCAGCCTCTCTCACACACACACACCCCACCCCCCACGATCTCTCAGCCTCTCTCACACACACACACACCCCACCCCCCACGATCTCTCAGCCTCTCTCACACACACACCCCCCACCCCCCACGATCTCTCAGCCTCTCTCACACACACACACCCCACCCCCCACGATCTCTCAGCCTCTCCCGGGGCCCCACGCGCTGGCTGACCTCTCACACACCCGTCTCGAACACTCACACCAGCACCCCCCGGTCGCACGCTCTGGACGTTCACAGCCCAGTCCTGCCTCTCGCACCCACACACCCCTATCCAGCCGCTCCAAACGCGGATCCCGGTCCGAGCCGCAGCCTCGGCGCACCCGCACGGGCCTCTGGGAAATGTAGTCCGCCCGGCAGCGACGGCGCAACAGCGCCCAGGCCGGGGCTCCACGGCTGGGCTCAGAGCCGCCCGCCTCGGCGGCCCTGCCTGGCCCTCGGGCTCAGACACTCGACCACCCTGACCAACCCACGAGCCTCCCCCCGGAAGCCAGCCGCCCTCACCCGAAGGACTTCGGCAGCTGACGCCCGGGAGACCAGTGCCCAGGCGCCGAACCTCCCCAGGTGGGCGAGCAGTCAGGAGCAAGGGGCGGAGATAGGGCGCGGCTTAGCCGAGGGGGCGTGCTCTTAGGCTGTTGAGAAGGAGAGGCGGAACCTTAGCGTCCGAAGGGGAGGGCCTGCGCACGTACGTAACAGCGCCTGAGGGGCGGGGCCTAGGATACCAGAGGCGGGACTACGCTCGAGGGGCGGGGCCCGAGGGTTCAGGGGCGTGGCGCGGCTGGGAGCGAGTGTACGCAGGCGCATAGAATGCGAACTTCCCCTCCCTTCTCCTGGAAACCAGAAGCGTCCGTAGTTACGGGAACGGACAGTCCTCTGTGAGCTCTGGTGTGCACCTGTGACGTCCCGCTGTCTGTGTCCGAATGACCCCGGTGTCGTTCTAGTGCGGTCCTCTGAGCTTGCTCGTGGGAGCGTGATTTTCTTCCTGTGTTAAGTTTGGGGACCGTAAAATCAGCGAGGGAACCCTTCCTGGGCTCTATCACTTGTTATTACACCAAATTAGTACATTTCTCACTTGCAGAATGGAAATGTCGCTATTATCACTCTTCAGAAAGTATTTTATTTGGAACCTGCACTGGTGTTGAACCCCATTCTGCCCCTGATCAGAGTGGAAATGGCCCGTGGTATGAGATATTAAGAAAATAGTAGAATTAGGTAGCTGACTTGGAAATTGAAGCAAATAAGGAAAAGCCTAAAGGAAATCAATTCTCAATATTCATTAGAAGGACTGATGTTGAAGCTCCAATACTGTGGCCACTTGATGCAAAGAGCCAACTCATTAGAAAGGGCCCTGATGCTGGGAAAGATTGACAGCAGGAGGAGAAGGGGATGACAGCGGACGAGATGGTTGGATGTCATCACTGACTCAATGGACATGAGTTTGAGCAAGCTCCTGGAGATGGTGAAGGACAGAGAAGCCTGGCGTGCTGCAGTCCATTGGGTCACAAAGAGTTGGACGTGACTAAGCGACTGAACACAACAAAGGAAAAGCCATTCAGGGGGATACAGCAGAGAAAAAACCCACAAAACTCCCCACCCTCTAAGATCTTACTTTCAAGTGAATGGAAACAAGAGAATGAGTAAAATAGTGTACTGAATGGTGAGAAAGGCTGTGGAGAAATAGAAAACAGGGAAGAATAGAGAGTAGAGAAAATGAGAATATTTACTGTTGAAAAATGAATAGTCAGGGCACTGAAGTCTTTAATCTTCATGCTGCTTTTCATCCTGAATTTCAACATTGGCTCATTTAGGAGTAATTCTTTACATGGACTCTACTGTTATATTCTCAGTGGTAAAGAATCTGCCTGCCTAAGGAGACGGTGGTTTGATCCCTGGGTTGGGAAGATCCCCTGGAGGAGTAAATGGCAACCCACTCCAGTATTCTTGCCTGGGAAATCCCACTGGAGGAGGAAGCTGGCGGGCTACAGTCCATGGGGTTGAAAAAGAATCGGACATGACTTAAGAGACTAAACGAGTATTTTTCTTCTCTACACTGGTGCATACATTTTATAAATGCTTTTATATATGCACTGAAAAGAAAAAAGTGAGAAAAAAAATCCTGTGTGCTCAGTTTAGGAATATCCCCTAACATCTATTAATATGATACCCCTTATATCTGTCCTAGTGCTGTTCCTTTGTGTCAGTCTCTTGATTCTTGTTCAAAGGTGATAGGTGCAGTGATGAGATCACTAAAATACAGCAGCTGTAGGAGGAAGTGTGGGAGAAAATTCAGAAAAGACTGCTGGTTGGGTAATTCGAAGCTAAACCTGTGACCAAATCTGGGCACCATTTTTCAGATGTAAAGTATTAGGTCATGGCTGTTTGTTTTTTCACACTTTGCAACATCCAAGCCCCTCCCCCCGCCCCTTGCTAATGCTGTGATCTTGGTGGCACATGTGTCTCTCCCATCAGGACAGAAGCCAAAGCCAAGAGGTGATCTCTTGGGCTCATCTTTGGCTGTCAGGACACCTGCACTGTAAACTTGGTTTCAGGGCATTAAATGTGCGGGCACCCAGACTCAGGGCCAGTAAAGTCACTTGTGCAGTGCTGCTGTTTATTAGTGATGGCAGCGGAGCCGGATGCAGGTAGGAGGAGGCTAGAGTTCTCCAGATTGCAGGACAATGGTTTCATGTTCTGCTTTTAACTTGCTTTGCTTCCTCCCTGTCTTCAGTTATTCCATCCAAAGAGTGCGTTAACAAATCGTTTTCATTGGAGCACAGGTGATTTACAATATTGTGTTGGTGTCAGGTGTGCAGCAAGGTGATTCGGTTATGCATACACAAATATCCGCTCTTTTTCAGATTCATTTCCCATTGTTGTTGTTCAGTCACTAAGTTGTGCTCCATTTTTTGAGACCCCATGGAGTGCAGCACACCAGGCTGCTCTGTCCTTCACTGTCTCCGGGAGTTTGCTCAAATTCATGTCCCTATTTGCTCAAATAGTCAGTGATACTATTCAACCATCTCATCCTCTGCTGCTCCCTTCTCCTCCTGCCCTCAATCTTTCCAGGTATCAGGGTCTTTTCCAACGTATCAGCTTTTTGCATCAGGTGGCCAAAGGACTGGAGCTTCAGCATCAGTCCTTCCAGTGAATAGCTGAGGTTGATTTCCTGTAGGATTGACTGGTTTGATCTCCTTGCAGTCCTCTCAAGAGTCTTTTCCAACACCAGAATTAGAAAGCATCAGTTCGTCAATGCTCAGGCTTCCCGGTGGTTCAGACAGTAAAGAATCTGTGTGCAATGCAGGAAACCCAGGTTTGATCCCTGGGTTGGGAAGATCCCCTGGAGAAGGGAATAGCTACCCAATCCAGTATTCTTGCCTGGGGAAGACTATAGATCAAGGACAGAATTCCATGGGCAGCCTTCTTTATGGTCCAAGTCTCACATCTGTACACAACTACTGGAAAAACCATAGCTGTATTTCCTTTGCAGCTTATTACAAAACATTGAGTCTAGTTCCCTGTGCTATACAGTAGGTCCTGGTTCATTATCTGTTTTTCAGTGAGCTCCTGAGACCTTGAGAATAAGCTGCTTTTCTAAGAGTCAGAGTCAACTGAGGCTGCTCGTTTTCAAGATCTTGACTGATGGTTAGGTAACTGGAATAATAGCATTTTCGAGTCTGGTTGACTTTGGCCAGTACTCTCCCGTATGAATTTGCTGATGCCGACTAAGGTGCGACCTGCACCTGAAGGCCTTCCCACACTCGTGGCAACTGTAGGGCTTTTCCCCAGTGTGAATCCTCTTATGCTGACAGAGCGAGGAGGACGTGCTGAAGGCCTTCCCACACGCATCACATCTGAAGGGCTTCACTCCACTGTGAGTCCTGTCGTGCGTCACCAGGGAGGAGTGATTGTTGAAGGTTTTCCCGCACACCTGACACTCATAGGGTCTCTCTCCTGTGTGACTCCGCCTGTGGACAGTGAAATGGGACCTGCAGGTGAAGGCCCGGCCGCATTCCTGACACGTGTAGGGCTTCTCACCAGTGTGGGTCCTCTGGTGCTGAGTGAGCTGCACGAGGCGGCAGAAGGCCTTCGGGCAGTCCTCACACTGATAGGGCTTCTCTCCGGTGTGAGTCCTCTGGTGCTCCGTCAGGGAGGACAGCCGGATGAAGGACTTGGTGCACTTGCTGCATCTGTAGGGCTTGTCTTCAGAGTGGATCTTCTGGTGTCTGAGGAGCTGGGCGCTCTGGGTGAAGGCTCTGCCACAGGCCTTGCACTTGAAGGGTTTTTCTCCGCTGTGGATTCTCTGGTGGTCCGCGAGGGCGGAGGGGCGGCTGAAGGCCTTCCCACACTCGCTGCAGCCGTGGAACTTCTCTCCGGTGTGGACGATCTGGTGCTGGGTGAGGTGTGTCACCTGGCTGAAGGCCCGTGTGCACTGCCTGCAGGCGTAGGGCTTCTCACCCGTGTGGGTGCGCTGGTGTTGGGCGAGATGGGCCTTCTGGTTGAAGGCTTTGCCACACTTGCTGCACTGATAGGGTCTCTCTCCTGTGTGGATCCTCTGGTGCTGGATGAGAGTTGATCGACGACGGAAGGATTTCCCACACTCGAAGCACTGGTAGCATTTCTCTTCCTCCTTCATCTTCTGATGGATGATGAGGTATGCCCTGGTGCTGGAGGCTTTTTCATATTCTCTACCCGTGCTGCTCGTTTTTTTCATCACTCTTTCATAATGGTATGTTTCTCCTTTTATTCTCTTCCTTAAAGACAATTCCTCGCTTTTCTGTGTTGATTCACTCTCTGAAAAATGAACATATAAACACATTAATATAAATAAATGTACGTATCCCCACTGCTGAGAATCTATCCTTAGAAAAAGGTTCTAGTATTTAAGGATATATGTACAAGGACATTTATTGTCATACTCTACTAACAGAAAAAGCTAGAAACAAATACCCATTTATTCTTATTTTTGATTAAAACAATTTTTTCACTGTGGAAAAATACACAAAACGTAAAATTTACCATTTCAACCAATTTTAAGGATGCAATTCAGTGGCATTAAATACATTCCAATGTTGTGCAACCATCAGCACCATATATTATCCTTATTTTTAATTTGAAATGCATTTTAAGTTTTAAATTAAAAAAATTGAAGTATAGTTGATTAACAAATATCCATTGAAATAAATTATTTAATTTAATATCTCATGAGTGAATTAGTGCCCTTCTAAAAGGGACCCCTTCCACCACATGAAGGCACAGTGAGAAGACGGTCATCTGTGAACCAGGAACTGGCCTGCCAGATACTGAATCTGCAGGCATCTTCATCTCCAGAACTGTGAGACATGAAGATCTGTTGATTAAGCCACTTGGTCTGTGGTGTTTCTGTTATAGCAGCTCAGACAGACAAAGACACACATCAAGGGCTCACATGGCCCAGACCGCCCACAAGGAGGGGTACTGTCCACCCCACCAGTTCTCAGCTGGGGCATTTCCAGTGGCAATCCATGAGATGCAAGAGGTGCACCCAGGACTTCGCTTGAAAAGGTCTAGACACTACAGGTGAGCTGCACACACACGTGGCCAGATCCCTGCACCATCCCCCACAGATGTGTTTATCTCTGGCCACTCTGCTGTGTGTGCAGTAACCACTGTGTTTCAAATTATCCAATCTTGGTTCCTACTTTGCCAAGGTATCTAAGAACATCTCTTTTTAAAAATGGAGCATAGTTGATTTACAATATTGTGTTAGTTTCAGGTGTATAGCAAAGTGACTAGAGTATACATACATATGTATACATCTATATTCTTTGTAAATTTCCTTTTATATCCATTATAGGTTATTATAAGATATTGAATACATATAGTTCCCCATGCTATGCAGTAAATCTTTGTTGCTTATTTTATACAGTCATTTGTATCTGATTTCCATACTCATTTATCCCTGCCCCCACCTTCCCCTTTGGTAACCATATGTTTGTTTATGTCTGTTAGTCCATTTCTGTTTTGTAAATAAGTTCTTTGTATCATTTGTTTTTAGATTCCACATATAAGTGATATCATATGTCTTTCTTTGTCTGATTTATTTCACTTAGTATGATCATCTTAGTATGATACTCTCAACCATCCATGTTGCTGTAAATGGCATTGTTTTATTCTTTTTAGGTCTGAGTGATATTCTGCTATATATGTGTACCACATCTTCTCTATCCATTCATCTGTCCATGGACATTAAGGCTGTTTCTATGTCTTCAATATTTTAAATAGTGCTGCAGTGAACACTGAGTTGCATGTGTCTTTTCAAATTAGAAATCTCTCCAGCTATATGCCCAAGAATAGGATCACTGGATGATACAGCAACTTTATTTCTAGTTTTTTAAGGAATTTTTATACTGTTCTCCATAGTGGCTGTATCAGTTTACATTCCCACCAACAGTGTAGGAGGGTTCCCTTTTCTCCACATGCTCTCCAGCATGTTATTTATAGGCTTTTTGATGATGGTCATTCTAACTGGTGTGAAGTAATATGTCATTGTAGTTTTGATTTACATTTCTCTAATAATTAGCAATGTTGAGCAGCTTTTCATGTGCCTGTTCTAAGAACATCTCTTATTTCCTCTTGTTAAATAGTAAATTCCGTGATGGGTTCTAGTCTGTAACAAAATCCCCTTTCATGGCCAGAACTAGAGATTGAATATGTTTGTTAATGGAACAGTTCTTGGATGGATATATTTATTCAATTTATCAGAGGTGAGAGTGAGAATTTTTTGGATACATAAAGAAAACAGAAGTTTTGAGATATCTTTCTGAGGAAAGTCTTATGAAATGAATGAAGGATAAAGTGGTAAAAAACAATCCAGAGAGTAAAGGTTTAGGACAGCTGATCACAAACTTACATTTGGAGGCAATTGTTTAAAAAGGTGGCTGAGTAGAATAGTGAATGAGGATGAGAGTTGGATCCACTGGGGACCTCAGACCAGAGGCCCGCTGAAGAAAGATGCCCAAACACCTTAAAACTGTGGTCATCTCAGAAGGCAGCTGGCTTTCTGCACGTACATCCTTCCCTCAACTTGGTCCCAGACTCACCTGCCCCTGGAGCTTCTGCATCCTCCTCCCTCATCACCCAGGGCTGTGGGCCTTGCTCTAACAGGAAGGCTATGCTGGGCTCAGCAACAGATATGCCTTTGGAAAGAGAAAGTAATGGCAGTTGGTCATGCCGTTATTACCCAAGAATTCAGCTTCTACCACAGGAATCAGGATCAAAGCCCTTATAAGAATGGCCAAGGGGAAAAAAAAAATGGCCAGACGAAATTTGAAGGTTTTTGGAAGGAGAGTAAAGAGAAAGTTGTCCATTTCTAACTATGCTCTTTATGGGACATAGAGCAAAAAGTAAAGGCCACTGTAGGTCCCCAGAGATTTCCAATAGGAGGAGGAAGACAAAGCAGAAGGTAAATGTGAACTAAGGGCTGGGTGCACTCACCCAGCCAGACCAGGTTCTGGTAAGTCTCTGACATCACAGCTGTGTACAGTTCTCTCTGAGCAGGGTCCAGGAATCCCCACTCTTCTTGGGAGAAGTCGATGGCCACATCTCGGAATGTCAGTGATCGCTGAAAGGGCAAACACTTTCTTACCCACAAAGCCCGAGGGAAAAGGGTCTTGGCTGAAAAATAGCAGGTGCTGCATAAGCACTGTGGTGTGTACTGCAGGATCCAGCGTTTTTGTTTTTCTTTTTTTGCCAAATACAGATACATATTATAGATAGTGAAGATCAACTCTTTGGGTAAGAAAAATTATTCTATATTATCAACCAAATTGTTAAAACTGGTCGTGGACCCTGTGTGAGGAAAGCATTCCAGGAACTTGTTTGGAAAACAAGGATTTCTGAGGAAAGCATGAACCATTGCACCTCTACACTGAGTCTGTAGCCTATGGTTCTAATCAACAGATCCTGACCTCAAGCTGCAACAGCTAACTGGATCTCCAGTCTCTAGCCAGCTGTGCTCATGTCAGACAGGCCACCACATCCTCAGTGGTAGAAGACAATTCTTTAATCTGCTGTTTCTCCTGCTAAATAGGGATTTTGTACAAGTTGGTGGTGTTTGTGCAGTGACAAACACTCCTGAGTTTGTCTAAAGTCTGAAGACAAGGGAAGACTGTCAGCAACCCAGGACCTCAGTTCAGTCCTGAATGGGTTTTTCCTCCAACTGTAGCCCAAAGCTTTACATATGTCTTCCTGTCCCTATAGAGTTTACTAAATGTGTAAATGTACATAGATGGAATTTTACCTCCTTCTAGATTCTCTAATTGTTTAATATATTCTATAATGTCTAATACATCACATCCTTAAAGCCAATTGTCCATTTTTTTCCATTTGTCCATTTATCTTAACATTTTTTTAAAAATCTGAATACAGGGTCAGCATATACTTAAGCTCAGTATTTAATGGTGAAATTTAAATGTAAGTACAATGAAATGTGAAAACTGTATACTTAAGTTAAAAAAACTGGATTATAGAGTTCTCTTTTGATAAGTACATTTCATAATTTACTACAATCCTGGAAAACATATTTGTTTAAACGTGTGTTTGTGTGAAATGGAAACTGTTCTGCAACTAGGAAGGAAAAAAATCTCACTTCTTTAAAAATCTGTCCTTGGATGTGGGATTAAAGCTCAGGGCACTTGATAATTGCAGTATTTATGACGATTTCTGTTTTACTAGATGACTTTATTCTTTAAGGTTAGGGTTAATCTTTATTCTTTAGGGTCTCATTGCAAGAAAAAAACCAAAAAACCGTAACCCACCTGTGATGTGCCTTCCAGAGGTCCAGTGGCCATGCTTCCCTTCATGAGGCCTCTCTCTTAAAGAACAGAGTCCTGTGAATGTGGAGCTGAGGAGATGGAAGGAAGTATCAAAAAAAAAAAAGCATCAAATTTGTGTTATTCTCTCTTATCTACCCCCTGTAAAACATCAAAACAGAGCAGTGCCCAATCACAACACCTTTTTTTGAGATTTACTGGTTCTCCAAGTTGTGAGAGAGCCTAGTGCGATGTCTCCACATCTGTTCCTCAAAATGGTCATTGATGAAAATGACTGTAACCACAGTTACTGTGCTGAGGGCTTTACATGTATTTCCCTCACACTCCCTCGTGGCTGAGGCAGCCATTCCTGTCTAAATGTCTGTCCCTGGAAGTGCATGAGTGGGAAAACTGGTCAAATTAGAAAAAGTCCAATAGATGACTTCACAGTATCTTGACTTCCTATAATGAAAGTGTACTTGATTTACAACGCTGTGTTAATTTCAAGTGTACAACACTGATGCAGTTTTAGTTTTATATCTTCGTTTTCTTTAGATTTCCCCCCTTACTGTTGTTTAGCTGCTATAAAAATTTAAACGAATAGTTACGAGAGCTCAGAAGAGTCCTCAACAAACTCCCACAGAAACCGTGAGCCAAATCCCATAATCACACGGAGAAACAACCGTGCAGGGGGACAGGACGCCAGACAAACCAATGCGGTAACCCCAGGTACACACATCCCGAGGTACACACATCCCCAGGG